ATATTTATATTCTGAACATGTATGTGCTAGTACATTCCAGTCCTTTAGTGCTCATATCATACACAGCAGAAAAGTCAACACCGATCATCCATCTATTAGCCCATAATGAGAAGTTAAGCTGGAAAGCCAGTGAAAGAATAAAAACGGACCAATTCTACATCCCGAATGGTGAGCTAACTATAATAGACAAACAGCTTTAAGGATTCCGGAATGGCACAAGGTAAGTAATAATCGAGAGGAATTCCTTTTAATGGAACTTAGATTTCATTCCTTCACTTCAACATTCCATTCTTCAAATGAATTATTCAACACTCAAACAATTTGCAATTTACAGCAAACATAATCAGACCAACAGTTCAATTTTGAATTCAGGTGTGCTTCCCTTGACGTGATGCACAGTTATTGAAGCACAGAATAAAATTAAATTTCTAACAGTTTAGGTTGTTTTCTTAGTCTTTTTAGTGCCACAAACACAGTGTCTGACATTCAGCGTAACAACAAACATATACTCATTTTAACAATCCATGTACCTTTCATGAAGCTTTCTGCGGTTGCTGTCATTGTGATCATCACAGGAGATGATAGAACACAGTGTCTGACATTCAGCTTAACTTCAGTTCTCACACTCATTAATAACTCATCAAGTTAAAACAAAGAAAATCACAACTGTGAAGGAGGTTTGGATACCCGGTATTAATTAGCATAGATTTTGACGATTTTACTTCTCTGTTTACTCCTTAGTATTTGTTTCGATTTACAAGATACATGTATATCAAACACTTGTGACAGTGTTTCATCTGCTATCCAAACACCTTGAATTTCATCAAAAATACTCCGCTGTGTGTCGTATTTCCAACTCTCTTCTCAGTGTTTGGATATTCCAAAGAAACACTGTCACTCATGGTTGATATATTACAACAAACATCATTTCTTCATTCAACAATCCATGTACCTTTCACAAAGCTTTCTGCAGTTACTGTCATTGTGATCATCACAGGAGATGATAGAACACACCAGATATTTCAGATCTGCATGAAAGGATAACATGACAGAAATAAATGGCTGGTTAGCTCAATTTGAAAAGGTGAGAAAAAAAATAAATGAAGGGATGTGTGGAAAAAGACCCCAAGTGACATCAGATAGACTGCAGGCTTCTCCTTGCAAATTGCTTTTTGCTTCCTTCTATGAACAAGGAGAATTCAATATCAGCTCAAAAGTCACCTAGTGCTTTTTTCCATGCACCCCTTCAAATGTTAAGATTGATTCATCCAACTGAGAGTAGGGTCAACACTAAATGAAACTTCTAAAATATTTATAAGTGATGATCATACAAGCTATTATTTAGAAATAATAGCCTGCATGTTATTCAGAAATAATAACTTGAAAGCATCACTTGAAAGCTATGTGTGTAGTATTTAAAAATAATATCTCAAGAGCTATTGTCTTGAAAATTAGCCATAGCTTCCATATTCAAGGCTAATAATTTTAAGAAATGATATCTTTTAAGCTATTGTTTACAAATAATAGCTCAAAAGGTTATTATAATTTTAAAATTATTATAGCTTAAAATTTCATTTTATGTTAATATCCAAGTATGCATTTGATTGCACAAGTCTATGCTGAAAATAAAGTTCCTTGACATTTGCTTGTATAGCCAGACTGTGACAAGCCTGAAGCAGATCAACACACATTGATTTCTGTTGGGTCTGAGAAGAAAAGTCACACAAGGTCAAATTCAAATTATTCTATTTTATTATTATTGACTTATTTTCATAGCTAAATATGGAATTGGCACTTTCAAATCTCAACAAACTATCATATTCAAGAAATTGAACTTGGACATTGAGAGTTCTCCTTTATTTTGCTTTTTAAGCTGAACTAATCCTAACACATAACCATGCACAACAACTGCTGCATTTAACGCTTGGAGAGTTCACAATGTTCCAATTCAGATTTATGTTCCAAAAATGTACCAGAAATTACACAACCTTTAAATAATTTTTTTTAAGTGGAAGCGAAAACTTTTTAGAAGATTAAAATTTGGTGAAAATTTTAAAAATGGATAGTGTATTTCATGAGAGACAGATTGACTAGAAATTTTTGACTGAATTGCAAAGTATGGTCTCTTCAAACCAAAACATCTTCCATGGGAAGTTAATTTTGAGTACCAATGTCATGCCCCAGTATGGTGACAATGAACTGCACTTGTTGCTGGTGAGGGTTGTCCAAAGTCAGATTGGTCAGATGTGTACAAGAGGTGAATTGTGATACTTATCATGATACTTGGAGGCTATGTTACCTTAATTAAAAGGAAACTGTAAAATTAATATAAAGTTGAAACTCACTATCTGGAACTCTGTTATCTCAAACACACCTTCATCTTGAACTCAAGCATTTCACTCTGGACAGGCTTAAAGTTCAATCCGTCATTTCCTATTGGTTCTCTGGAACCCCTACCATCCTGAACAAATTTTCTTTCGACTTTCCCTTAAAGGTTTGAGATAGCAGGGTTCAACTGTAGTTTACAAAGTAAGAAACCCACAAAAGGGCAAGTTTCCAGATAAAAAATTTTGTTGAAAATGATCATTCTGTAACTTATTAAAGACTTTGGTATTTTATTAATGTCGATATAATTATTTTGATATTGATAGATTAAAAACTGGAAATTATGGCACTTTTTAGTGTCTTGATTTTGTGTTGTACTCGCGAGTCTCATCTAAGACTACTCACATGCAATTTCTCAAAGTAAAATCAATTGATTGCTGAATCAATATACATTACCTGTTTGTTGGTTGCCATTAATTTTAGTCAATAGCTGACCTTATTTACTACCTTTGTCTGAAGGTTGCCATGTGGTCTCTGCACCTGCACAAAGTCTGAGCCAGCAAGTCATGTGAGCCAAAATGCAAGCCATTCCAGTTAGCCTAAATAGCTCCCCCCTAAAAAAGGTTTCATTAGTAAGCTCGTGTTTAGCCTTTACATGTTAGGCCCAGTTCATACGTCACATTTCTGCCGTGTCAAATTCAATTCAACGAATTAAATTCGACAGAAATTCAACATCTGAATTGGCTGCCGCATTTCTGCTGCACGTTCGACTGGTCTTGTCGGATTATCTGACAGAAATGAGACACTGATTCAGATGTTGAATTTCTGCCATGTTGAATCTAATGCATACATTATGAAAACTGAAACCTTCTCTGATGTCTTTCACTGGGGCGCTGGGGGGGGGGGGGNNGGGGGGGGGGGGGGGGGGGGGGGGGGGGGGGGGGGGGTATGTGCGGCCCAAACCTTGAAACCTGTAACCTATTTCGTACAAAAATGTTATTTTCCATACCCTATTTCAGACCTGAGCGAAAAATTAATATCCCATTTCAGAGAAGGGGTACAAATAGACCAAAATGGTTAAAATCTCTAGTGTTTCTCAAGCTAAAATCGTTCAAAAGCCATACCCTGCTGCACATACTGTAAAGCCCATATAAGGGAGGACCCCCCTGGGAAATTTTTTCTGTTTCTAGACTTCCTTTGTTATCCCCCCGAGGGCGCTCTCCCGTATCTGGGCTATATAGGTAATTGCAGCCCCAAACGGTATGGTGTTAAAGCTGTTTTGGTTACAAATACAGTATCGATTTTGGTCATAAATAGGGTATGGTTTTTGCACTGAAGTCTTCAATTGGGTATGCTTTTAGGAAGCTACTTTTTCATCATTATCGATAAGCCCACCAACAAAAGCCCTTGACAAATTATATTAACGGCAATTCAACATTGGTCTGAACCCTAGAGGTAGGGGAGGGGGTACTCCCAGAAAAATTGGGTGAGGGTGTGCAGCCCACTTTCCAAAACCCTAACCCAATTTATGACCAAAATGTGTGATATTCCCCTACCATATTCATGACCTGACCAAAATTCAGCACCCTACTTATGACCATTGCGACTGGCACAGTTGCCCTAAACATAATTTATGAAGGGCTTTTGATGATGGTCTTGTCAATAATGATGAAAAAGTAGCTTCTTCTAAAAAACATACCCAATTCAAGACGAGTGAAAAAAACATACCTAATTTGAGACCAAAATGACCAAAATCGATACTCTTTTTATGACCAAAACGGCTGAAAACCCATACCCTTTGGGGCCGCACATACCTATATAGCCCATATAAGGGAGTAACCCCCCCGGGGGTCTGAACTAGGACAACTAGGGAACTAATTAGAAGNATGACCAAAACGGCTGAAAACCCATACCCTTTGGGGCCGCACATACCTATATAGCCCATATAAGGGAGTAACCCCCCCGGGGGTCTGAACTAGGACAACTAGGGAACTAATTAGAAGGTAGGTCTGAAAACAGGGTATTGATTTAGTGTACGGTCATATATAGGGTAGGAAAAATCGCAGATTTTGGTCATAAACAGGGTAAAGGTTTTGGGATGCGGAGCCGCACAACCCCATATAATTTTTCTGGGAGTACCCACCCCGGACAAATAAGGTGCTCGTCTGTCAACCAGGGGATTATGACACATAAGATTTCCTTACCCTGAGGAAGATAAAAAAGACTGCTTCACTCCTTTTACATTCCTTTTGATTGGTCAGAGGCCAGGGTCGACCCTATGGACGAGTTTGTCATCTTCTAGAATCCTAGAAGAGTACAGGATCTCCGCCATCGCCGCCATCTTGAACGCTACAACCGAGAACCTTCCGGTCAAAGGGCCTGGGACCAGGGCTTTGTTCTCTCCCCATGCCCTTGCTCTCCAACAAAATCAAAATGGCGACGGAGTCGGCGTCCGAAACTTGTGCAAGAATCGTCTTCCGCAATCGTCCAGGGGTGGATAAAGTACCGACGGAATCCAACTTCGCTCTAGAAAGAATGGAAATTCCACAATGCAAAGAAGGAGAGATCTTAGTTAAAACGTTGTATTTGTCAGTAGATCCGTACATGAGATGTCGAATGAACGAGAACACGGGAGCAGCTTACCTTACTTCCTGGACTATCGGCGAGCCGCCAGCTGGTGGTGGGGTGGGGAAGGTAGTGCGAAGTGATAGTCAAAAGTTTAAAGTAGGAGATATAGTGGAGTCATTCGCGTGGCCGTGGCAGGAATTTGTGGTTTTCTCTGACGGCAACCCAAACCTAAGCAAGGTAGGCCAATAGCGTTTCACATCCAGCACCGGGAGGTGGTGGGTACTCCCTAGAATAAGCCTATACGGGGAGGCTCGGCCCTAAGGAGGTACCTTTTCCAGGTTTCAGGTATACGAAAGGGCAGGGATTTCACAAGCTGAAGTATGTGAAAGGGCAGGGAAATCTGTCATTTACGAAAGCCGAGGAGGGACTTTTGACTTCAGACTTCCGACTTCTGAGTTCCGACTTCTGACCTCTGAGGCCCAGTTCAGACGTCGTGCTTCTGCCGTGCCGACCTAAATTGTAATTTGGTTCGACTGTAGCACAGCAGGAAATCAACTCTGATTCAGACGTCGTGACAGAGTCGAATCAAATTCAGCATTTACTGAAGCCTCGTAACAATTCTCCTCCTAACTCCCCGAGGAAATGCAATCTCGGCAAAACACATTAACGTAATTTATGAATTTAGTTTGGCGCAACAGAAGCGCGACATTTGAATTGCTGTCGTGCCAGAGTCGTGTAGCATGGCAGAGCTTGTCGAACTTAATTGCTTGCTGAACTTAATTCAAAAGTTTGATTCAGATGCCGTGCTTCTGCCGTGTGTTTGTCGATCTTAATTTCCTGAATTTAGTGCGACACGGCGGAAGTACGACGTCTGAACTGGGCCTAAGTTCCGACTTCTGACTTCCGACTTCTGAGTTCTGAGTTCTGAGTTCTGAGTTCTGACTTCCTACTTCTGAGTTCTGACTTCTGACTTCTGACTTCTGAGTTCCTGACTTTCGACTTCCAACTTTCGACTTCTGAGTTCTGACTTCCGACTTCCGGCTTCTGACTTCCGACTTCCGACTTCTGACTTCCGACTTCCAACTTCCGACTTTGAACTTCAAAATTGAAAGGATCGATTTTCGTCGCGCAACTTATTTTCCTGGAAATCGAGTTAAACTTAATCAAATCAGAATTGTATAAACACTTGTCCTCAGGCATTGTAGCTTGATTAAGAATGAGTTTGAATACAATGTTTATTACATTGTTTATCACTGCTGTTTGTGTTATATTCGTAGCCAAATCAGACGTCATGTTTCAGACCAGTGGCCCGTTTCTCAAAAGTTCTGGAAACTTTTCAGGCCTGTAAAGCCATTAAGTTCATCTGTATCTAAACACGGAGAAGTGTATACGCCTGAAACTTCTGGTATGAAGGGAACATCTGGTCATATTAAAAATATGTGAATAAAACAGCTCTGTAATGATATGGTTCAAGATTTTACTATGGCTTTCTGGGTGTGAAAACTTTTCGGGACCTTCGAGAAACGGACCCCAGATTTCAATATTTGTATTATTGTGCCTCGGTAAGTTAGTGTTAAGTTAGTTCGTATTTGGGGTCAAATGACTTTCTTAAACCAAACAATTGCCGCTGAAGTGGACACCAAATATCTGAAATTTATGCCCCTGAGCGAGATG